GATTTGTGAACAATATTTGAGAGAAATAGGCCTTTTGTGTACATAGAAAAAGTCTTAGATCTTTGAGTTCAGCTTATGAAAAATGGGGGCAAAAACAAAAGTGTTGCGTTTATAATTTTGTTCAGTGTATATATATATATAAATAGTGTGTGAAATTCGTGAAACCTTGTAATCATCTGTCCACAAAAAAGCATAAATGCCGCATGATGCATTCCCGAATGTACATTAAACTCAAATTAATTGCATTTACTGTGAACTGAGCCGCTCTGAAACACTGAAAAAAAACTGGATCATGAGCTGCTCGCGTGTAAGAATACAGTGACGCGCTTCACTATGAAACACAGAAACTACATACTTGTTCAATTAAAATACACACTGCAGAAAGAAACTATTTCAAAATATTCAGAATTGATATGCATGTGTATGTATGTATGTATATATATATATATACCTCAGATGACAATGTAGATGCCTGACAAACTGTATGTATGTGATTACACGCAATACACAGAGCTTTTCCCTCACCATTGAAACGCACTACTGTTGCAAGGTTCCGTGAAAACGTTTCAGCTTATATTTTCCTTTTTCGCCCTGAAGAAGATATCACAGCTTCAACAAGTTCGTCGAAATGATCCATCCTCGATCACTTTTAGTCAGTTTTGACGAAACGATGATTTGTAGTGCATGAGCATGTAAACACACCTATTACGGAGTAAACACACCTATTACGGAGTGTATGTGTACAGGATGCACCTGTATGTGTATATATCAGTGGTCACACAATTTTTTTTTAGCAGTGATGGAAAAATCTGAGGGCCATCTGTCATTTTGACATTACACTGAGGGTGATCTATTGTAACTTGTAACTGTAATTCCCAACCCTGTCCAGTTGGTGGCGAGTGGCAGCAGAGCGTAGGTTCAGCCTCCAGAACAAAATTAAAGCTGGGTTGTTTTTTTTTTTTTAATTAAGACGCAAAATCTAACTGTTGCCTCTGCATCAGTCTCTCTTGATGCATTTGATTTGATACAGGCGAGCACCCATGTTGTAATAATAAATTTATAATACTAACTTAATAATTACATATTGTTTCTACTCCAATTCGTCTTTTTTTTATATACATGTATGAATATGTAATATGGTGCATATATTTTTTCCTACATAACGAGTTTTTGGTCACTTAATGGCTTTTCTGAGGTAATGTAACATTACGTGACAGTTTACAGCGGTTGAAAACACTGATTGATTGGTTACGTGAGACATGAAATGGATTTTGGTAAGTTGTACTGGTTCTTGCAACATATCTTCTGAGGTTCATTCATGTGTATTTCGTGCCATAAGCAGTAGTAAAGTGGAAAAGATGATCGTTCATGTGCGCTTTGTGCTGCAGCTTGGGTATTAGATGTCTTATTATCATTATGAAAATGACAGGTAATAATAGATTATGACAGAACTTTTATTGAATATATATATATATTATTATTTTCATTTATATTTATATAACACCACCAGTAGGTATCCAGGTAATCTGTGCATGAAGTTCAGATGGCATCAGTAAATTTAAATGCCTTTTTTGGAGATTTTTCTGGCTTAAGAAGTTACATTGCTGGCCAAGTTCCATATTGATGCTTGTGTGAATAAAGTGTCTAATAAACAGTCTGACCTGGCTGAATGGGTGCTGGAGTTGTGCTGGTGGCAGCAGCTGGTGCAGCTGTGGCTGGGATGCCTGATGAGGTTGTTGTGGAGGGGGCAGCGGGGGCAGACACTGGTGCAGGGGCCATGGGTGTGAACAGGAACCGCTGGACTTGGCCATTGGGCATGGCTGCCTGCATGAGCTGCTGACCGGGCCCCGGAATGACCGTCACCCCCTGAGGAATGACCTGCAGCTGGCCGGTGGTCTGACCTTGGCCCTGGATCACAACCGTCAAGCCCTGGTTCCCTCCCTGAAGAGTGAAAGAGTGAGTTTATTTCAATATTAACTTTAACCTGTGTGGCCTAAGCGACAAAACAAAGTCATTGGAATAGAGTACTGCGCGGATTATGTATTTGTGTAGGCCAAAACCAGAAAAAAAGTCCACACTTCTGGCTCCATTGTCCTAAAGTTAATGTTTTGTTCAAATGAATTTTTTGGTTAAATGCTTGCAAAAATCTCTGTGGTTAACACAAGCTCAAAATATTGTCATGTTTTATTCTACAACATAAAATGCATCAGTAATACCATATACAGCCAACATTTACCTTTTTAATTCCGCCGACTGTATTTAGGCTTAAGAACTCATAAAAGTTGTTCATTAGTGAAGAATGATGAACAAAACGTGTAAGAATCATAAAAACCTTTGTCGGTCGCAGAGCTTATTTTCTGCAATAATCCAAAAGCCAATTGGTTTTTGTCAAGGGAATCAGAGTGATGCTAACTTTGATTGGCCTACAAAAATAGGTCAATACTGAAGCACTTTATAATGTGCACGGATGAATCGGGCACAATAAGAACATTAAAACTGGTACAAACCTGAGTCCCCTGAGTGAGCTGTGTGAGCTGGGCCAGAGTGAGTTTGACCTGACCCTGCTGTGGCCGGGGAGAAGAGGGTGTCTGTGGGGTTTGGGCTTGGTTTGGTGTGGAAAGGCGAGGAGTACCCACCACCTGAGCGCCTGAACTCGTTTGCACTGTCTGTTGTGCTTGACCTGTGTGATATAAATCCCATTTACACTCTAAAAATGTGGTATATTTATACATAGAATTGGCCATACTGTGCATATCACAACTGTAGCATTATGCAGTCAAATATGTTTGTATAATCAAATCCAAGTCCCATTTATTATATAGCACATGTCGATGCTGCAAAGTTAGTGTCATTATGCAGCTCAAAACAATTCAAATTTTGTTCTTATCCAACAGTGGCTGCACAGATAAATCAATAATATTACAGACCTTTAATTTTATCTTTTAAATAATGACCAATTGAATGGGATTCTGTCATTTCCTGTCTCTATTATACTATTGAATAAACACACAAAAGTGTTTATTAAACGTAATTAATTAAATGTAAAAAATGAACTATTTCACTTCCAGGATGAAACCTGGTTGAGAATACCTTGCTGAACCATCAGGGGCGTGCGAATGATAGTCTTGCCCAGGGCGGTGGTCTGTTGCAGAGGAGAGCGTATCACAGTCATCCCTGGTCGGAGGGCGGTTCCAGTCGTAAGGACCTGGGCATAAACAATTACATAAAACATTATTGCAGGAATAAAAAATTTTGAGTTTGCCAGAGTGGATGATTTTACTGAGAGCTCATGCCTGCTGCGTGGAGGTGGTTGTGTTGGGTCTGATGTTGATGGTGGCCATACGCGGCTGGAATGCAGGGAAGGACTGTGCGGTGCCCGCTGTGCTTGATGGAATGATGCCCACCACCTTCTGCTGTACCTGCACCAAGCCTGCCGAGACGATGAGTAGATTTAGTTTTCTCCAAGAATACTGCATTACGTAGATACATAGCTGGTCAAAAGTTTGGAGTCGGTAAGATTTTTAAAAATGTTTTCGAAACAAGTCTGTTAAGTTCACCAAGGCTGCATTTATTTGATCAAAAATACAGCAATATTGTGAAATAGTATTACAGTTTAAAACATGTTTTTCATTTTAATATATTGTAAAATTGAATTTATTCCTGTGGGGGCAAAAAAATCAGTCTGATATGCTGATTCACTGCTCATTTCTTCGCTGCTTAATATTTGTGTGGAAACTGTGATACATTTTTCCGGGATTCTTTGATAAATAGAAAGTCGAAAAGATCAGTATGCAGTATACTGCATATTATTAAATTATTATAAATGTCTTTACTGTCACTTTTGATCTATTTTTGCATCCATGCTGAATGTTAAGTGTTAAGTAGTAATTTCTTTCAAAAGAAAAAAAAATCTTACTGACCCCAAACATTTGAATGGTACTTTTTATCAGAAATTGAGAGTTGGAAAATTAAGGTTAAGTGTGAGCCAAACAGAGCAACAAAACAATTTAGCATTAAAAAAAGAGAAAGTAATCCTAATTATTTTCCGTATTCAACAATGATAATCAACTGAATTAAATCCAAAATAGTAAAGCCGTAAAACAGACATAAAGCTTGTACCAAACTTTAGTGGATGTTCACAATGACAGCAATTAAAACTGAGTTTCCTTAAACCGCCACCTCTCACTGAAATTAAATGACTTTTGATTGCTGTTGCAGCAGCAAACTGCTGCCAGTCTGAACACCCTTTTAGACTATTAACAGGCTATATTAACTGACCCATGCTCACGAAAGTAAAAGATACGTCATTTAAGAATACTGAGCCGATATTTTGCTTTTCTGCGTGCAGGCAGGCCTAACTTAAAACAAAATCACATGCCAATGATGTGGAGGCCTGCCGTACCTCCTTGAGTGGTTGGCACGTTCACTGTGACTATCTTGCTGTTGGCTGGAACAGGTAGTTTAGCAGCGATGACGCTGCCGGCCATCGACCCCGCTGCAGCAGCGATGTGGAACGTTTGCCCAGACGTGGTGGCGCTACTCGCCGCCACAGTCACAACCGAACTGGTAGAGACTGCAAGACACAGGTCTGATCACCATCCTAACACATACATCTCAATCAGGAAATACATCAGCGGTTGAATCCAAGTACGCCACGGGCAACGAAATGATGTCAAGCACTAAAAACACCACCACAAATATGCTTACCAAAAAAAAAAAAACATAACTGGACGGCAATAAAATCCAACTAATTTCCAACCAAATATACCGACGTGCAAAAAAACTAAACAAAAAACAAACAAACAACAACCTCTAACATAAAAGCCATCAAGCAACATTAACCATGCCTACTCATAACATTGTAAAGACTAACCTGAGTTGCCTTGTTGGCCCTGCTTGACCCAGGAAGCAAAGGACTGCTGGAAGTTCTTGTTTTGCTGGAATGTCACTGGAGAGCCCAACTTGGTGGTCATTATAACTTTTGGCGCTGAAGTTACCTGACCGCTAATAGAGCCCACCACCACCTTTTGAGTAGTGGTCCCAGGGGTTGTAGGAGTGCTGGTCAAGGTGGATGTGTTGTTGGTACTGCTAGGTTTCTGCTGTTCCAGCCGTTTCTGCAATATAGTCATTGAACAGTTCAACTTCACAATATAAACAAAGATACAAGGCAATAAGATAAAGCACCAGATAAAGTCAGCTATGGGTGAGTAATTTGATTAAAATCAAGATTATTAAATTATATGAATTTACCCAACCAAACTAAGAGTGAAAAAAGCAAAAGCAAAAAAGTAGTGGTAGATGTAGCAAAAATAAAATCAATGAATAAATAAATAAATCATAAGGCCCATTGGGAAGAACACCCATTTCATTTAATATTGTGCCCCAGGTTAATAAAAAGGGGCGCCCCAGGTGGGCACATGTCTACTTTCCCACCTGTTGGGCTGCCAATCTCTGCTGCTTTAGCTGAGCTTCCAATTGGGCCTTGACCTCCTCTGCTTTCTTCTGCACACTAACCTTAGTTGGGTCAGCTGCTTGTACCTTTTCCCTCTCAACCCTGTGAAGTCAGAAGGTTTAAAAATCTTTAAAAGAATACGAATGAACAAATAAAATATTATAAATGGAGACACACTGACCATTGAGAAACATTCAAACTGAAAAAAGAGTAAATGAGCACAGGAAATAATATCCTAAATGAATATCATTAAAATATATAAGCTAATATATGCAAACATCCATGTCTCATCTACAACTCTCCTTCGTCCAAGATCTGGAGCGTTTGACAAAAGGAATCAGTAAGTTTGGTTTTAGGGTTTGTAAATTCACAGAAAAAGAGGGAATTTCCACCTTTCAGTAAAGGCTCGAATCTCCCAGAGTTCCAGGTCTTCCTCGGCCACCCAGGTTTCGATCACAACAGGCCCAGTCTGCTTAGCTGGTTCTGGCTTCTTTGGCCTCAGAGCACTTGAACGAAGGCCTTTCCTTTGAGGAGTGGGAGTTTCTGCTCAAAGGAATGATGGACAGATCAAATATCAACAGTGTTTCTGGTCAATCAAAGCTTGCGTGATAGAAAACTTTCCATGTCTTAAAAACAAAGCACTAATCGGTTGCCTGGCATAAGGACTCTTTGAGTCACCATTACCTTTGGGAGTCTCAGGCACCCCAAGGGGACAAATGATCTTCCTGATGCAATACTCAGAACGAATGCCATAAGGACCAACATCCCTCCGCTTGATGATCTCAGTGGTGGTGATATCAGTGTCAGATGTCTCTGTTAAGTTACACAAAAAAGGTTGAGTGCTGAACACCAAACGACAAAGCGACATGTGACAAGCAGTTAAGCGCCAACCTGTTCGTGTTGTTCCTCCTGTGGGTGAGGGTTTCACAGACATATCTTCCCATCTGAGGCAGGCCCAAAGTAGCCGTAGCATTAGGCTCACTCCAGCCAAAGATCTCACCGTCTGGAGACGATACCTGTATGACAGAACATATAGAACATAAACCAAGGTTTTCTATATCGTTTTTAACGCATTGCTACATCGATGCTTGGATGTTCTCGATGGTTGCTCGGGCATTGGTAGCCGGCTGCTCACTGGTCCAAGTCAAAAGAGCCACCCTCTATGATATTCCGGTTTTAAGGTATGAGTCAGGACATGTCTACAATCTTCATCCGTTTTATCATACACCAGACAAAATCGTAAGTCTGACTGCATAGAAAGTGATGGCACACCTCTGTTTAACAAGACAAAGTTTTGAAGTAATGTTTTTGCATGTAGAACAAATAGTTAATACTTAAATTTAGGGGCTTGTTCAAATTCCTAACCTAGTAGTGTCCAATCCTGCTCCTAGAAGGCCAATTTCCTGCAGAGTTTAGCTCCAACCCACCTGCCTAAAAGTTTCTAGTGACCTTAAAGACCCTGATTAGTTGGTTCAGGTGTGTTTGATTAGGACTAGAACTAAAGTTTGCTGAAAGGTGGTCATCCTGGAGCAGTAATGGATATTCCAATACTCTAACCCCAATTATAAGCCATAATAACAGTGATGCTTGCTTTAGCGATTAATTCAGGTTTTCAGAAAAACAACGTGATGACAAAGATCAGGGGAAAAAAAGAGAAGATCTCACCGTCTGGAGACGATACCTGTATGACAGAACATCCAGCTCATTAACATTACAAAAAAGGTTTAAAAGAACTTAGCATTCATGCAAATCTCATAGGCCAATTTGGTCTTTTGGTAACCATTACTGTTCTTAAAAAAAAAGGCAGCTAGCATCAATATCCCTATTTTTTCTGAACACCAAAGTAACACTGAGAAAAGACAATACCAGTAATTGGGACCAAGAACATGATAATACAGGAAAGAGCTACAAAGACCCTTAAGGAAACTAGCATATGTTAAATTAGATTACTACATTCTCTGAACAAAAAGTGAGTTGTTCTTCAAGCTGAATCTGCCACCAAAAGTGCTAGGGGGTTGCCAAGGTTTTCTATATCGTTTTTAACGCATTGCTACATCGATGCTTGGATGTTCTCGATGGTTGCTCGGGCATTGGTAGCCGGCTGCTCACTGGTCCAAGTCAAAAGAGCCACCCTCTATGATATTCCGGTTTTAAGGTATGAGTCAGGACATGTCTACAATCTTCATCCGTTTTATCATACACCAGACAAAATCGTAAGTCTGACTGCATAGAAAGTGATGGCACACCTCTGTTTAACAAGACAAAGTTTTGAAGTAATGTTTTTGCATGTAGAACAAATAGTTAATACTTAAATTTAGGGGCTTGTTCAAATTCCTAACCTAGTAGTGTCCAATCCTGCTCCTAGAAGGCCAATTTCCTGCAGAGTTTAGCTCCAACCCACCTGCCTAAAAGTTTCTAGTGACCTTAAAGACCCTGATTAGTTGGTTCAGGTGTGTTTGATTAGGACTAGAACTAAAGTTTGCTGAAAGGTGGTCATCCTGGAGCAGTAATGGATATTCCAATACTCTAACCCCAATTATAAGCCATAATAACAGTGATGCTTGCTTTAGCGATTAATTCAGGTTTTCAGAAAAACAACGTGATGACAAAGATCAGGGGAAAAAAAGAGAAGATATAGACCTCCATGTGATCCCAAATGTTGGTCGTGGGGATGGGTAGGGCCAGATGTCTAAAGCTGGCTTGGAGTTATAATTAAAGATAGGAACTTCACGGATGCCACCGCGCCTTGCAAGTTTCTTCAGCTCGTCATTGGGAAGCACGAAGATACTCTTCTTGCTACTCTTGGTCACAAACTTGCGGTACGAGGGCAAGGCTGTTCCGGACCTTGTTTTCTTGATATGAGAGAACTTTAACAGTCGTACCCTGTCCCTAGTGGAATATTCGTGACTTACTGTCATAGATTTTACAGTGGAACCACTAGGACTAGACATGGCATCAGTCAGTGTTTTCGTGACCGTGGTCTTGCACTCTTTTGTTAGAGTAGCTTCCTGGGATGAGTTCATAACCTTGGTAACAGTAGTGGTAGATGTAGAGGAGAGTGTCGAAACCGATCTGGTAGACTCCACATTAGAATCTGATGGTACAGATGTACTGATCCGGTTATTGGAAGCAAGACTGTCACGTGAGGTCAACACCATACGAGACTCTGTGGATACTGTGGTTGTAGTTGTGGTGACTTGTGTAATGACAGTCGTAGTCTCGCTAACGCTGCTGCTGTTTTCAGTGAGGTCACTGCTTAAGCTGGACTCTTCAGCTGAAGGGATGGGTGAAGGAACAGGAGGCTTTGCCTCCTCAACTTGCATCGGCTCCACCTTTGAGCTATGACTAGGCACCTCAGATCTTGCATTTGGCTCGGAAGCTACAGAAGACTGTTCGGGTACAGAGGAACTAACAGAGGAGTCTACAGGTCCTTCGATGTTGTTTTCCACCTTGGCCACTTTCTGAGGTGGTGGATAATCTGGGTCAAGCGTGGTAACTCCTTTCTCCTCATCCGAACTCACCTGAGGAAGCGTGCTATTAGTCCATTCTTTAAGACACTCTTGAGTGGCGTCACCATTCATTAGTGACTTCACTGGTTCCTTTGGTGATATTGCTTTAATCTCCTCCCCAACCGTATTGGTTAGCTCCTTTGTGTTAACATTATCAGTCAAATTCTTACATTCCGTGTCAACAAGACCATCCTTCCCATTTACTTGCACAGGCACTGTTCTCTTTACATCTAGGTCATTCTCATTGTTTTCAATGACGTCCTTTCTCTCAGAGTCTTCAGGCGGACATGTAGTTTCTGTAACGGTTTTATCAGGTTTAGCGTTCAAGCTTTGATCCAGACTTTGAGAGATTCCATTAAGCTCAGACATTGCCACCCTACTGGTGGTCTTAGGTTCTGGCTCTGGCAACTTCTGCTGATGTTCTTTAGGGGCTAAGTCACACACTAAGTCATTTAATCTGACGTCCAGGATGTTCTTCTGTCCTGAAATGCTTGTCTTCACCTGTTCATCCTCTTGATTAAAATCAAGCTTTTTGACCACATTGTCTTTTTCTTGGATTGCTAGACATGCTACCCCCTCTGTCTGTCTAGACTTTGGAGTTTCAGAGATAGTTCCTTCAATCTTGACCTTTTGGTCTTCAGCAGCAAAGGTTGTCTCCTTGTTTTCCATTATCTTTTCAGTCAAGGGTTTAGAATTGGTGGCCTGCTTGAGTTTCTCATGCCTCTGCTTCTCTTCTATGGTGAACTGTTTGACCCGTCTCTCCAAAAGTCCATCAAGTTTTGATGCCTTCCTTTTCTTGTATGCCGTGCGTAGCAAGAAGCCGTCACTGACATTCACAACATCATGCCAGAAGGATTGCTGGGGTTGATTCAGAGCACTATCCTTCATTACCTCTCTATCCGAAGGCTCTCCTTTCAAAGGAGAGTCATCGGATGAGGCATTTGTGATGTTAGCTGCAATTATGAAAAACAGAGACACATTAGCAACTATGTTCCACAAGGGAACTATTTTTACAATACATGCTATTTCATTTCTGATATACTTCTGTTCTTGGTACAGGAAAAAGCACAGAGAATATTAAACTTTGTAAATACCTGCTTCATCATTTACAGAGTTAGGTGAGCTGGTGTCCATTTCTTCCACAGATTCATTTTTCTCAGCACACTTTTTTTCAGCCGTTTCATTCTCTTTTTCTTCATTTTGTTCTTCATCTTTTAACATGGGATCTTTCTCCACAGGTAGCTTTTCTTCAGAAGAATCCAGTGACGTGTCCTGGACGTTATCCTTTTCAGGCACATTTTGAAATGAAATTTCATCTGTTTTAACCAAAGTTTTTGGTATTTCTGGGAGAACTGCCTGATTGCCCATTCCCGTTTTAGCTGCTAAAAAAGAATTTGTATGAGAGAAATTCTGCCAATGGAAGACTTTTCTGTCTCCCAGATTACATTTTGTAGTATTATATATGAGCAAACAACATACCCTCAAGTGCTTTCCGGTAATTGACATTGGTGTTTCCAGGTAGCTTTGGGACAAAGCGATGGACGTGCGTCTTACTCACCCAGCTCCAGCCTCCATACCCAGTTACTCTGTACTCCTCACCCTTCTGCTTCCACACCTACAGAAGATGTTTAGACAGTTACTGAATGCCTACAGCTTGAAGGCTGAAGCTGATGTGATTTTCTAAAATGTTCAAATGAAACACGCTGCCAGGTGTTCAGACGTACCTGGTGTTTGATGGGGAAAGTGTACTTCACCCATGTGGCCTGCTGCATAGTCTCTTCATCTTCTAGTTTTTTCTCTCTCTTTTTCACCTTCTCCTTCTCTTCCCGCTCCACAGAGGTCATGCGATGAAGCCTTCGGAAAGATGAAGAACAAAAAAAGAAAGCTCACCACAACTGGGACATAAAGGTGACTCACTGTACATTTTCATAAAGCCCCCAGCATGAAATTTGTTCAAGTACACAAATGCTTTCATGTTTAGAAGCAACAATGTGCTGAAACATATTACTGGATTAATGTATTATTATCCATACATGCAAATAAGCATTTAATTTCCCTTGCAATATACTGCACATGACAATTACGTAGGCTTAACAAAGCCAATATACTGCTATTGTAAAAATGTGGCTGTGGGTTTCCTTTTTTCTTTACAAAATCCCTAAGCTCTTTCTGACTGTAAATCCTTCTAAAGCTTTCAAGCTACATCCACCAAACACAGCCCAGACATGACTTGGGTTGTTATGACTTTCTTACTGAACTGACATTTTTCCTTAGCAGAATATCAAACAAGGCCAAGATCCCATAGACTTCTAGTGAAATCCTGTGACTATAACGACTCTTAAAACTTGCAATCCACTAGACTCGGCACAATGCTTTGATTTATTCAGCTTTAGCTGCAGATCTCAAAAATCCCACAGACATAAAGCTCAGATGATTTCAAACTCAGTTCAAATTTAATCACATACACTTTAATCTACTCATCTATGTTTCTATCTGGTTTGTATGACCTTCAAATATAACTTATGATTTTTTATATTTATACTAACCATTTTATATAGACTTTAATGGCTGCTTTTATAGAAAGACTTGTAAAACAGCTGTAGCATCAGATGCCATCAATTTTCTGAACTGCTGATTGCTAGCTATATTTTTTATATCTTCTATCCAATCAAGCTCTAACAGGCAACAGATCATGTGAGCTTCACTATCTGTACTCATACTGGTAGTCACCATATTGCATTTGCATACATTTAACTCCACTCATCTTCGTTGCATCGCTTTTTTTTCCAAAGCATCAAATGATTGCGGATGGCTGTTTTAATATTTATTTAAACTGACCTTGTGTGACCCAGAGAATCCTTCCACATAGGGAGCATGACCACTGGTTTGATTGCACACTCCAGAATGGCCAAAGCTAAAGCAAACTCTCTCGCCTTGCTGCACATCTGGACAGCCTTTATCCAGTTTGACCTACAGCAATGGAAAAGGTTACAGGATGACATGGTTAAATACTGCTTCCAGAAACCATTATACATTTAAAATAAAAGTCCTACTGGCACTTGTAAGGCTTTTACCTATGTGACGCCCAGTTGGGATGCAAGAACGGAGCAGGGATATTGTTCTCCAGCTGGATGATGGTTAATCTCAGTGTGGACACAGTCAGGGCTTTGGAGCCGTACAGTGATCCGTTCCACTTGAACTCACCAGCAGGGGTCATGCAGAACTTGTGGGAGAGGTGTCTGCGTTTGTCGTGGTCCTCACGGTGTTGGTGCTTGTTCAGTGCAAGTGTGTTAGTGCTGTACTGATTGTGGTAGACGCGAAATTTACCCTCTTGGCCCAGTTTGAAAAAGCCACTGCTCTTGTTTGAATCTCTCTTAAAGGAGCCGAAGGATGACAGTGGAGGAGTCTGAAATAAAATTCACAGGATTTACAGAAATACACGCATAATTCTACAGTGTAATATATTTCAAAGCAACTTTGTAACTTTTTTTGCTGAAGACCTCTGGTATCTTTTTGCTTAATATGAGCAACACCGCTAATGACCAAAAAGATAAAGTCCCACCTCTTTAAGTGCTCTGCTACCATCTTGAGAGCTGCCATCTTTGTCCTGCATGACCTTGCGTTGGCTTAGCTTGCTATCAGGGTTTCGGAGTCGTGTAATCATGCGCGACGATCCTGTTTTGCCGCTATCTCCATTAGCTTTACCCTCGCCTAAAGATTAAAAATGCAACATAAATAAGTGTAAAAATCTAAATATGAATAAACGTAAAGAATTATGTTATGGGTGTGTATGTGGGTGCATAGACACCTGTATCGTCTTGGCTGTTGAGAGAAGACTGTGAGGACCGGTCCACCAGGTCAGGCTCTTCTGGACCTCGCAGGCATTCAGAAATGGAGAAATGACTGCTGCAGCTGTTCTCATCCGCTGTTTGTGCAGGTTCAGTCTCTAGTACAGAATCTCCTTCTCCGTGACCAGCAGACTCTGAGCTCTTAACTTAAGGACAAACAGTGACAGAAGATATATTACATACATTAGTAATGTGTGACACTTTGGCCATGTTGAGTGTAGAAGACTCCCACAATACGGATACTATTTTTGCATACTTTGAAACCAAAAAAATAATATGCAGTACACCAGCATTACACTCCAACCTCAGCCAAAATAATATTGTAGCAAAGTATTAACGCTGCAGTATCTATCAGTATACCACTATAAACTTTGGTAAATATAATTCAAAACAATCCAGACAGGCTCTACACTCTCCGTAAACATGATATACCAAAGACAATGGCAAAGATCCAGTGCTGCTCTATAGACGGCACTATTAAACAAAGGTTTCTGGGAAGAGGTCTCTGGTCTCTTGTGCCAAGAGGGTCTTTGTTTCAGTACAAGAAAACAGAAGATCTCTTCTTAGCTTGAAAATTAACTGCAGCTAACTAATTAGGTCTGTCTTAATGTAACAGCGTGTGACTTGAACATTGAGAAAAGCGGTCGCTGTACCTGCCAACTCTTTCACCCCTTCAGTCCCTTCCCCTCTCTCCTCACCACTGGAAGACGATGTCACGGCATTTCCCGTGGGATTCTGGGAGTCAGATTTAGTCGGTATGGCCGAGCTGGATGCAGCGAGCTCAGGAACATTAGTGCTGCCCACCTCACCAGTTGGGACAGCTGAGACTGAGGCTGAAATATGAATGGACAAATCTCTGCGTTCAGTGTTTTAACACTAATAGATGAGAGATGCAATGATTTGGTTGTAGTTTCAAATGCAAATGATGAGGGTTGTAGCTGCGTTTGAGAGGAGCCAAGATTACCACACACTACAAGTATTCAAATAATGTTGAAGAAAAACTTTCTGTAGCAAAGCAAGCACACATACAAGACGTCTGTGAAAGAGCGCACGGTCTGGAAAGCATTGCACTGATTTTTAAGCATCACATTTGCATATAAACAGCTGAAATGCTCTTAAAAAGAGTGGATTCAGATACATTTTGAATTGACTGGCTTGTCCAGTCAATTTTGATTAGTAGGTAATAGATATACTACCACTTAGGGATATGCCGGTATCAAATTCTCATGTTGCGATTAATTGCTAATGCTTTTATCACGGTATACGGTATTATCACGCCTCTTTTGGAAGGCCAAAAAAAAAATAAAAAATTGTTTCGCTTTTACATGAACCAGCGTCACACACCGCAATGGAACACACCTTGAGTGAGCGGAGGCCGGAGGCCTAGAGTAAGCCGCATCCTAGAGTGAGCGGAGGCCGGCTTGAGTGAGCAGAGGCGGGCGGGAGACTTTAGTCTTTGCAACTTTACAGATCTTCTTTATGCACCAAGAGCTTGTAACACTGCAAAGAGGAAGGAAAAATTGAAATCGCATCAAATGAACCCTTTAATGTTTTTGAAAGAAGTCTATTATGTGTTTACTAAGGATGCATTTATTTGATCAAAAATACACTAAAACTAGTAATATTGTGAAATATTATTACAATTTAAAGGGGTCATACGATGCGATTTCAATTTTTCCTTTCTCTTTGAAGTGTTACAAGCTCTTGGTGCATAAAGAAGACGCTGCTGCAGCAAAACACACTGTTGCTCACATCAAAAATTATCATGCGAGTATTATGACCAGTACTTAATTTGATCCTGCTGGATCCTGTTCCGGAAAATGTCAGATTTTGAATTTTTGCGTTCCGGTAGGCCTATTTGTTTTTAAAAATCCGGCATTTACAGTGCATTAGATCGTGACAGTGCTATTATTTATAATGTAAACTAGGCTTGTACTTTACACGCATTCGCATATAGATGGAAAAGATCATCCTCTTCACATGAGCAAAAAGGTCCTTGGCATAACAGCAGAGTGTACCGGTATACTACGGTCTATTTAAACTGACCAGTGTAACCTTTTATATGTTTAGTTGACTGTATTTTATTTTGATAATGAACAGACTGCGATGTAAGTTTGAATTGCTAGAATATGTGGGGTGTGTGCGCGTGAGGCGCCGGCGCGATCGAACAGCTGAAACATAAAAAAACTTGTTTATGGAGCGCCGCGCCA